AAAGAGAAGTTGATGGAATTGCTGAATTCATATCAATATTTCCTCTGGACAAGAGATACTTCCCCTAAAGTATCCATTCAAGATTTTTTTAAAAAAGAAAAGAAACTGAGAACATTAAAGATTGAAGTCATGATTTTTTCCAAAGACATATTTTCATTTTTGTTTGTATAGACTGACTTCTTGCTGTGAAAGATGAGTTCGTTGGCCCAGCCACACTGGCATGAACACACAGTTCTGAAAATATTGAAGCCCTTCTGTACCAGTTAGTAAATGCCAGCCACTGGACTCAACCCAGGGCTCTCTCTCTCTCTCTCTCTCTCTCTCTCTCTCTCTCTCTCTCCTGCTGCCCCATCCCACCGCCAGGACCAACCCCAACCCCCAGCTCCCAGTGCCTTCAACACCCACCACTTCTGCCCCAAGCAGCTTAGCTTCCATCTGTTCTATGTCATGGCCATCAGGTAAGGCATTGTTTGCAGAAAGTACTCAGTGTGGAAACCATCTGAAGTCCCCTGCTCAAGGTCAGCCCTCAGGCCCTTGCAAGCTTGCCTGGCCCTGGATTTCGGAGAATGGAGGCCTTTCTCCCAATTCTCCCCAACACAGGGAGCTCCTTGTGGAGTCAAGTGCACGCCTGCATCCCGGTGTGATTACCTCGCCTCCAAAGGGACAACAGACACAGGCCTGTGGGTGTAGAGAGGACCCCTGAGCCGGTCCAAATGGGAAGAGGCAGAAGGTGCTGGAGCCCAGGCTCAAGTGGAGGCGGCAGGAAGGGACTGGGCTTTGCTCCGTGCCCAGCCCTGTGCTCGATGCTCACGGTCCAGATCCTCTCCAATCACACTAGAGGTGTTTCTTTCCTCCCTCCCTCCAAAAAAAATCCCTCCCTTTCCTTCCTTCTCACTTTACTGAGCACCTGTCTGTACCAGGCACTGGGCTACAAAGACAAAGCTAGCATCCCCAAGACCTCACCGCCCCGTGAGAGCATCATCCAGAAAATGGCTGTGACCGCGGTGGGTGCAGGATGCAGGGGGAGCCCCTGGGGACTCAGGGAAGATTCTCCAGGGGAGTTAAAGCCGGCTGGGACCTGAAGGCTGAGGAAGGGCATTCCAGGTGGAGGGAACTGCATGGGCGAAGGCAGGGAGGCAGGAAAGAGCCCCCCTGGTCTGGGAACTGTGGGAGGGCCATCGAGTCCGGGTCCAGGAAATCTGCTGTTTGAGGTTGGGGTCCCAGAACCCACTCCTTGGACCTCTGCCTTCTTGACCTCCTTTGCTCCCGGCTAGGAAGAGGCCCCGACCCAGCTGCACAAATGGATGCTTTGACATTGGAGAGAGGGAGTGAGCAAGGAGGGGCCAGCTGGTGTGTGTTTTGGGATTGCTTCTCAGAAATCTGCCCCTCCATCTCCTCTTCCTCCTCCTCCTCCTCTGACACCATGGCAACTGGGAGGCAGCTGGGGAAGCCACCTGTGAGCTGGGCTGAGTTGAGGGGGAGGTGGGCTGGGGGTAGGGACCTCTGGTCCTCATCTCTGAGCCTCAGTTTTGGCATCTAGAATATGGGTATGGCAACCGGTTGTGGGCTCCTGTCAACCCAGGTGCTCCAGGAAGCGGAGCCCTAGGCTGGACTCCTTAGGGGGAAGGCCTGAGAGGTAAGGGTGGGGCTGGGGAGTGCCCTGCATCATCCTGCAGCTGGGGACTCAGGAAGGGAGAAGTCCCTGAGCCAAGTAGCCTGTGCTTCCCACCAAGCAGCCTGCCTGGTGTGCCCACTGCCTGTCACTGCCCAGGAGCCCGGGGGAGCAGGAGACAGATTCGTGCAATAGGCCTTCCCTTCCCTTGGTGCTGGCACCCGTTTGCCCCTGGCACCCGGGACCCAAGCCTTCACTCTGGCTGGGCTCCAGCCAGAGCCGGCCCTGGAGCCGTCCGGCTTCGCTGCTCTGGCCCCGGGGCCGTCCGGCTTCGCTCGCTGCTTGGAGCCTACGCATGCAAATTAACCGCCATCTTTGTTGGGTTAATTTGCATATTCTCCTGATTGGCTGGTTAGCATAGCAAAGGTACGGTCAATTTACATGTTTGTCTATTATTAGGTAAGAAGATTTTAGAGAGAGAGAAAGGGAGAGAAACATCAATGTGAAAAATATCAATCAGTTGCCTTCTCGTATGCGCCCTGACTGGGGATCGAACCCTCAACCCTTTTGTTGTACGGGATGACATTCAAATCGACTGAGCTACCTGGGCCGGGGCTGGAGGGACTTTTTCAAGGGTTGGGCCAGGCTGGATCAGATGGGTGAGGCGCCCCTCCCTGATCCAATCTGTAGGTTCAGGACAGTGACTTCCTTGTCATCTCAGGCTGCTGGGTAAGGAAGTATGGGAGAAGCAGAGCCAAGGGGAAAGGCCCTGCCACCAGGGAGCCACTGCCTTCTGGGAGCCCCCAATCTGATGGGGGAGACCCAGCCCCTGCCCTCTAGGATCTCCTGAGAAAGAGAAATTGGCCTCTTCTCTCTGCCTTTCTCAACATCTTTGTTCCAGAAATAGACAAACTAGGCAGAGAAATGAGCAGGTGCTCAGAGCAAACGGGAGACAGTTCTAGCCAGGATCTGGGAAGGGGCCAGAGGGTCTCTCCAGGAGGGGGAGGGAGTCGAGTTCAGGTGGGAAGGATAGGCTGGGAGCCAGCAGCCTGGATGGAGGTCAGACAGAACTGGAGTCCAGGATGGGTGCGAAGCGAGGAGGTGATGCAGCAGAGAGACGAAGCAGGGGCTCAGGCCCGGAGTTAGGGCTCTTCGGGATTACAACAAACAGAAACTGGCATCCAGAAAGCCCAGCCTGACTTATTTTTTCCATTTCTGAAAACACTACCACTCCCCTAGTGGCCCAAGCCAGAAGCCCAGGGCCACCGTGACACCTCCCTCTCTCTCCCTCCCCTCACCTCCCGTCTAATGTATCATTGAGGCTGCACCCTCCACCTCTGCGCCCCCATCCCCCCCCCCCCCCCC